ATGTATATGTTTATTAATTATTTATTTTTCGCTATTTGAGAATAGTAAGTTGATGTGCTTTGGAGATTTTATAATTCCTTTAATATGTAGAAGTGGTTGTAGCATTTTAAAAACTATGTGTCTTTTTGAAACTCTGGGTGTTTTACACTTTGGTAATCATTATACATTCGTCTTTTTCAGAAAATAAGATAACAGCTAACTATCACTACTCATTTCTGCATTTGAAAAGTAATAGTTACAATTTTACTATCAAATAACTAGACAATCAGTAAGTAAATACATTGTTTAATTTAAGAATTGGATTAGTTTGAAGATATATAAATGGAGTATTAGATAAGAAGGAAATTGTAGAATATATATACATATATAAGTTTTTCGAATATGGTAGAAAGGTTTTGTTATAATTTTTATTGATTCAATGTTTCTGGGAAGTACATAATTTAAAAATATTGATGAAGATTGTTGAAGGTAAAACACCTTAGAGAGTCAGTAAATAGGTTAAGGGTATAGTAAAAAGCAATATTTTGTTATAATGAGACTGTGCAGTTGATAGTAGAATTGCGAGCATTGAATGTTAGACATTTTTTACTGCAGGCAGGAAAAATATTAATATTACACGAATATGATATTATGTAATTTTGTTACTACGTTAAGTTTATATTTATTATTTTATTCTATTCGCTAATTAATAATGCTTCATCATTTAAACACTATGTTATCACTCAGTAATATTCAGTTGTTTTTATTTTATTCATTTGATTTTACATTTATCATCGTAAGACTGTATTTTATTATATTGTGCTCAGCATATGCACTTTATATGTTAGGCCACTCAATTAGTTTTAACTTCCGAAGAAACCTAACTGGAAGATAATTTTCTAGCACTGTATAAACGTTCTTCTAAAGCAACAGTAACATTTTCCAAGCGTCTTGTAACAAGTATGAAATTTATACTTATAACGTTAAAATAGTGAATGATATTTAATGTTATAGTTTATTTTTCCTAAAAAGAATTTTTGTGAATGATTGTTTGATAGAGATGTCACTGTCAGATACTAAAACTGACCACATATTATGTGAAGACAAATCCAACCTTAACGTTTAAAGTTAAACAAAGAATAGCTGAAAACTCGCCAGTCAATGGTAAAATATTTTGCCTGTTTTAATAGTTGCAATTGATTCCTTTATAAGAAAGTACAAGAATCTACGAATTTTAATGTTATGTATTCATACAGTATTTTTCTAAAATACTTACTCATTATAAGTGTTTGCCATTTTATGTGTAGTTGGGTTTCCAGTTAGTCAAACAAACTGATAGATTGGCCTATAAGACGGTTATTTAAAAATGTGTGTATGTGACATTTAGTAAAGTAACCGTATTTTTGTGACACCTTGAACAACGTGAAATTCAAACTTTAAAACGCTTGAAATCACTTTATCATAATGTTTTATTATAAGAACAACATCCGGTATTTTCTTATAACTTCGTTAACAATTGCATTTATATTTCATACCCAGTTATGCGTGTAAAAGATTTTTTTTACTCACCTAGACTACTAGGCGTGCTTCCAAAATATTTTGATTTAGATAATGAAAGGATAACAGTTTAAAGTTTAAATTTCGCAATAATTGCCTAATTAATAGAAAATAAAATAATGCATGGTGTAATAATAAATAAAAATCGATTGTGAACTGATTCATTAACTGTCTGAGAAGTCTAGTCTTAAAAAGCACTCTCGATTTGCATTTTCTTCAATCTATTGACAATTTCATTTTTGTGAATGAAACAGAAAGTAGCAAATCGATTATAAATTTAGATGTTTCGTGAATAGTGACTCATGCATGTACGTGATGTAGTTGTGTGATAAAATATGCCAATTGGCAACACTGACACAAAAGACTGATTTCCAAGTAAAGATTTTTCTTGTATACATATCTTTTTTTATTCAGTAATTTACCCTAAAATTCCTTCATACACTATTGCTCCTATTCCATTACTATAGTTTCTTACATAGCGCATTTTTTTATTTGATATTTGTATAGATGGAGTAATTCACTAAATTGTAACACCTATGTACTAAGAGAATACTTTCTTATAATAGACATGAAATTAAAAGGTTTAAAAACAGGTGTCTATGAAGAATAATGTGTCAGTTATCAGAGTTGGCGCGTAACAAGAGTGTCGACGCTTAATGCGCACCCCCCCCCCAAGCGCATAAGTGTATGGACCTTTCAGATCATATCGAACATGGATCTGACTGATTAAATTTCTCCGGGTCTCTAGAGGCTGGCCCCTCCCTCTCTTGGCGACTCCCTTGTGAATTTGTTTCGGTTTAGCGTTCTTTACCGTGATCTGCTACAAAACTTTTTCTTTTATCTGTACATGTACATAAAATTGAAATGTCTGTCTGTAACACCGAACGAGCTTATTTTTCTTAAGCTCATATGGTTATTTAAATGCTGTTGAGAGATGGAAGATGAGATTGTTAGAAATGATTGAAATTTTTTGTTAGTGTATTTGTATGGGTCTATCTTCGAAACGTCAACCGATTTCAATGGGACTTTATTGTTTTTCTATATACAAAAAAAAAACTTTATTCCCACCAGCCATTAGTGTTGGTGGGCGGGCAGTCCCTCCGGACTATGTCGAAAGTTAGGACGGAAGACCCTCTTCAGTCTCCTTTCTTGAATCATGGGAATAGGTGGGTGGTGGTTAGGGTAAGAAAGATGAGACGAATGAATTGAAGACAGAAGAGAATGAAAGATTATCTGTGGAATATTACTGCCCCAGCATTTGCCTAAGTGATACGAGGAAACCACAGAAAAACATTGACCAAGGCAGACGGACCCGGAATGTACATAAATATGTTAAAAAGTTTATTGCTTCTACACATAAAACTAACAAGTAATAACGTTTTTTTACTTCACTGAATTAAAATAACTTCGTATTAAAAGTGAATTTAGACAATTAATTAATTAATCGAGTATAAGTATGGATTACTTAATACAAATCATCTGTTTTCTTTTTCTATAACACTTATAATACGTGTATTATTGATTTTGTGGAGGTTCATAGAGATAAACCTCCACAAAATCAATACAATTAGACAATTTCATTGTTTTATTTTTACATTGCAGATTGCAACTATTTTTATTCAGCTTGCAATCACCCTGAAAGGTGTCATTTACTAGTCGTTATTAGTATTTTATGTGTAGGTATAATTTAAGGCCTTACTCAAGAATTTGAAATTTATATTCCTGACAAGTTTCTAAATTGCAAAAACTAAACTGAAACCATTTTCAACAATATTAACTGCGTTTTATTATACTTTATTATTTTAGATCGCATAGTTTATGATATAATTATTCAGGGAGTCTGAATGTAGGTATTGCCCATTAAATAAAGTTGATCTTAAAAACTCTCGTACTACTACTGACCACCATTAATCGAGAAGTGGTTAATTAGAACTCTGATTTTATTGTTTGCTGATAGGTAAAGCTTTACCTATCAGCAAACATTAAAAAGTATGGGAGTTGCTCAGAACATTACAATTATTGTTAAAATTCCATTTGAACTCGCTTTATTTCTGCCGTTAGCCAATTTTCAGTCAATATGAGAGAATGGTGGTCTGTGAAAAATGTCATGATTTAATTGTGATTGTTGATATTCGCTTAAAATTCCATTAGGTTGGTACTGCTCTGTAAAAGTTAATTAAAACGTTAATAAAACGTTAATTAGGTACATATATTGCAGCCATATTCATTTTACTTATATTTAGATTATGGCGATTTTTATCATATTTTATTAATTATTTATATGTAGAAGTATTACAATAGATAACATGGAAATATACAAACAAAAAATAAAGACGAATATCATAAACATACAAGTGAACAATCAGACTCCCCATTCATATAAAGGATAAATACCCAACAGTACCGGATTAAGTCAGCGCAGGGTGTTTAGGAAATTAAATTTTAAGTTAAGCATATTCTACGTTCTTTGCCATTGTGTTCCAAAACTCACTCTTCAGGTGCTTTAATATCGAAAGAAGACGTTCTCCGCCGTAGTTGCGGATCATCAAATTTAAGTAAGTACTCATACTAACTTAAATGAAACTTTGAGGTTTGTTTTTTTTTGCTGTTAATAGGAAACATCAGTCCGTAGCTATAAGCTAAAGAATATCACAAAATAAACCTAATGTCTGCAAAACTGTAGGTCAATGTAAAAAAATAGTACTGAAACAAAAAACAATTTTTATCTCTCAACGGCTCATACCAAAAGAAAAAAAAACATGGACGAAACGACGATAGAATAACATCCACTAATTGGTAATACCTATGTGAATAGTTCGAACCCTATAGTAGGAGATTCCCCNTTATTTGTACTCTTATAATTTACTTATTAAATAAAATATACACCAATGATACTGGTAAGAAAAAATAGAAATCTGATTTCACAAAATTTTAGTCGAGAATGTATAATGTGTTTCTGAAATAAGTAACAAGCTTGAAGGAGGCGATAGGACACTATAAAATAAGAAAATTAATTAAATGGTTTGTGGCTCGAATGTTTACTGTTTAAAACGCATTTGAGAGTTCAGACAAGAGCCAGTCCGGTCTGGTAGGTAGGATAACGCAGAAAAATATGACAATGCAACTCCTCATTCAATCAGCTGGTGGTTAGCAGTATGCTGTTGTATTTATTTTGTACTTTTGACACATGCATTGTTATTTGTTAGATTAGATTAAGTGTGATAGCCAAACTAGAATAGTTCTTTGTTTTTTGAACGTTGTAGACTTGTATATATGTATGTAGTCAGTCGAGTCAATAAGTCAGTGTGCCTGTGTCATAGGTCAGTGCAGAATAATATTGCACTGTCCAGTGCGTGAGTTTCTAGACGTTCGATTGGACATATTGGCCATGTACCCTGGCTGGCGCGTAGTCTGGATCATGGTACATATGTTTGTGTGTGTGTGTCTGTATTTACTGGTGTTGTAATTAATTTCTTTTATTGGTGAACCGCCTATAAAAAAAAACGCACCTCAGCAATGCCTCAATGGTGGTTTGGAAATTTACTTAATGGGAGTTTTGTCTCTTGACCACACTGCTTACTCATCATGCCTTCTCATTTTGTATCCAGTTAACACCTTCCAAACCTTGCTACTTATTTCAGAATACTCTGCATAAGAGAACAGTATAGTACATATTACATAAGTGTCACAACAGGGAGAAGTACGATCAATTCCTAAATTGAGTAAATTGAGTGTGCCACAATGCTGTTGATGCGACTGCTCCACCTAATAAAACCGTTATTAATCCTCAACTCCAGGTACTTCTCAACTCTAGATATAGGTCTACACAAATGTCCAGGTCAGGCAGAAATATGTATTTGTAAATGGTAAATGCTATATATATGGTATTAACCATGTTGAGATGTAGTCTTGCTTGTAACCAAACGATAGTTCTCAACCAAATTCTAGTCGTAATCTCAGTGTCATCATTTATGTATACATTATACATATAATAGCGGATTCAGGATAGCGCCTTGGGTATCTCAATATCAGGATTGAAGTTGTGTAAAGACTTCGCTATAGGTATTGTTACTGTATTCAGTATTAGAGTGCATTGGCAACTAAACAGATTCAGGGAGGCAGCTACTATCAACTGCTCTTGCCTAATTTATCGTAGATATATTATTCGGGCTAAAGCATTCACCGTCCTGCTTTTCACGAAAGCAATATTAGTTTCGCAAAGTTACATATCGATAGTATAGGCAGTCTATAATTCTCAATAAGCTTATTGTAATCTTTTTTATATATTGCGGTGACAACTGCTTTTAAATGCAGTATTTTGATTAAATCATTTGGCAAGATTCTGCCTTTTGCTTTTCTTTTCAAATCGGAAAGAGTCTCTTTGCACTTCATGTATTTCTAATCTAAAGAAGTGTGTGAAAATAATTTTATTTTTCTTGTTTAAGTACTTTTATTATTTATAATTTTTCTGCAGTGAATTAAAACATGAAGTTTCTTAATGAAAATATTAATTGTATGGTTATTTGTTATGGGCAGGTTATGGATCGAGTTTATCCAAACAATTTCAGTCAACCAGTAAACGAATCTAGTGATGAATCCGTGTCTCCCAACCCTGAACCAGTGAATTTCTTTACATCCGTTGTAGACAATCGACGTCTTAACCGTCGTAGTAATAGTTTGACTCCAGTACAAACAAGTTCCCATGAAAATCTCTCTCAGGTTCCTGAAAATAACTGGTCCTCACAAGAAAATCTTTCTTTGCCTGTATCAAAACCAAGAAGTTATTCCTTATCAAATGACAAGACAACTTCCGTCTCTATGAATCCACCTAATACTATGACTTCCAGTAGTTCTGAAACTCGATTGCAAGATCTCCAAGCTAATGGTAACAATTTCCCACTTATGAAAGGCATCATTTGCTGGTTGAAATCGTTAAGACTGCACAAATATAGTTGGGTTTTTAACAACTTAACATATCAGCAAATGATGGATCTGACAGAACATGATTTGGAAAATTTGGGCATTACCAAGGGAGCTAGACATAAACTTTTAATTAGTATTGGGAAATTAAAAGAACGAAGTCAGAACTTAACTGAACTAGAAGCAGAAATTATGAACGGTGGTGATTTAATTGTTGCGCTGAAAAAACTGAAGGGAATTTTGCAGACACCTTTACAAGCTTCATTTGGAGAAGATCTTCCTACACAGTTCGTGAAAGTGATGGGCAAAGGTTCGTTATGGTTTTAATTATTTAAGTTGGGGCTTATTCAATTTTTTAACAGTGTGCACCCAAATATTAATGCTCCGCCAACCAACAGAGGAATGCTTACTTCTTTTCTCATCTTTATGTGAAAGGGCGGAAATGTCAGATGCGTTCACCGGAGAGCAAAAGAGGCGTCTCGTGCTATGGAGAGGACAAGTAGCAAGAGGTACCCAAGTTGTTGCCCAAACTCATCCCCAACAGAGTACTCATTGCAGTCAACACAATAAGTAAATTTTTTGTCCCTTAAATCCTTTTTGAAATAACCGTGAGGATTTGATCACACACAATAAGAAGCCTGAGACGTGTGCGAGACGAACTTCGTACGAGATACGTACGTTTCTCGTTGCGCAGACGTTGAAGTTACACTACATAGCCATATACATTTGTACATACTACTTTAAAGGCAATTTACTTTGAGTGTGTACGTTAGTATCCAAATATGTTTTCAAATTTGACAAACACTGCTTTAGCTATAGTATCATTAACTCTAAAAGAAGAGGTTGTAAATTATGAGGTAACGCGTAACGTCGTAGGTTCTTATTCACTTTTTCTAATCCCATTTTTTATTTTCCTGTGGTACAGAAAATATTTGCATCAAAATCAGTAAAAACCAGTATACTAAATAATATTATCGAAGTTGGAGTTTTCTACGAAAATATATAATGTGTGTGGGTCAAACACGGGAAAAATTAAACAAAAGATTTAATTATTAAAGATGATTCATAAAACTACATTATGTTTCTTGTGAAACGTTTATAATCTAAATTGAGTTCTCCTTGTATCTACTGTACATTGTAATATTTAGTCAATTATTTGTTTAAGGTACCATGGTGTCCATACACAATATCATCCTATAACCGGTTCGACATTCCTTCAATCATATAGCAATCAGAAGAGTTCATCTTATCCCAACGTACAAAATAATCCCAATATTGCCGCTCATCGACATTCACTGGGCAGCGTTACCCTCCAAAATCAGTTGTACATTCTCAATGGTCAGTTTCCTATAACGCATGGACAAACTATCACGCATACCGATAAATGCAGTACCAAACCTTACCATGCTTTTAATAACAATAACAATAGTAATGCTGGTAAGGACATGCATGTTCATTTTAAGGACAGCTCCGATTCAGAAGAGTTTGAAAGAACTTCAGCACCTTCGGTTGTAGTTAAAAAAACCGATATTGAAAGTAGCCTCGAATCGCTGTGCCTACAAATGATGGAACATGCTCTTGGTCCGTAAGTAAAAAAAAAAAAAACATTTTTAAACGCAGCCCCTCCAGTTGGACGTGGCGAAGTGCACTTATCGTTAATATTTTTTTTTATTACTAATTCATTTCTTATCGTATACCATTTTTATTTGTTATATTTGTTTTATATAAAATTGGCTAACGACGAAATAGTAAAAAACGCACCTAAAAGTAAAACTAAAATGGCTGAACTCATTTTATTTTTTGAAGTGTAAATATTTAAGTTAAAAATTAGTTAACATTTAATGAGACAAGCATATTAAAAGTAACTATTATGTGTATAAATTTCAATGAGAAGTAACGGTCATAATATTGAAAAATTTTCGTGTGTATTTAGTCGTTGGCCTTTAGATGTTAAAGGTGTTGATTATTAATGGCAATTTATTATACAATTATGAATATTCAATAGAAGTTTTAACACTTATGAAAACAGGCAGTTAGGTTTTGACATACTTAGTTTATTTTTAAATCAGCTCACGAATAATTTTTGTGATAATAAGTCATGTTGTCTATTGTCATTAATAATTAATCATTATCTATTTCGATTTCTCTTTAAATCCGTTTGTATTCGTTAGTATATGTAGCTGATGGTTTATTTTTATTTATGCAGCATAATGAATGAAAAAACTTTTTAAAATTTGCTGCTACCATCAAAGAAAGGTGTAGTATGAAAGTAAAAGTAGATGATTTGGTACACAGTGTTTGGTTAAAAAGGTATATGCTTGAATAATAGTAACATGTTTGTATCGCGATTTTAACGTGTAATGGATGTTTCAAATTTTCAGTGTTGCCCTTAATTAACACATTTTTCTTTTAAATTTTTGCAGTTGACATATGTCTTTTTATTTTAAGGTTTGTTTTATCTTTTATTTTCAAACATGTAAAAACTAGGGAATATTGTATTACGGTAATAACAAAATTAATGGATTACTTGTTTTATTTTTATAAACAATGATCTGTACATATGAATGTAATTTTTTTGTAATTTTGCTATTTCATATATGTTGGAATCTATTTTTATATATTTACCACCTCAATCAGATTTAATAGGTACAATGAGAAATTTCATTCTAAATGGATTCTTTCGAGTTTTTTAATTTGTTTCCGATATTTTGTGATTGTCTAAATAATTTTTTAATTTTACGTTTAGTTTTACTTATTCGCAATTTAATATTAAATTATTATTTGCTACATCAATGATTAGCAAAATATTCATAAAGAATGCAGCAATTTTGAAATAAGATATTCATAATGTTTGAAAATGAAGATTGGTAATAGGATTATTCGTTGTTCCTGGCTAGGCTTTAACGTGTTCTATTATTTTTTGCAACTAAATTTTTGATCCCACTAATTTGGTGTAAGAAATATTGACTTCAAGCATGTGTAACGACACACACATTTTTATAATTTAATGAATTGTAGCTGACATAAATTAACTTTCAGTCTTTTTTCAAATTCATCGATCAATATATTTATCGTTGTACTGTCGGACAATGTAAGATGTATATGTTTATTAATTATTTATATGTAGAAGTATTACAATAGATAACATGGAAATATACAAACAAAAAATAAAGACGAATATCATAAACATACAAGTGAACAATCAGACTCCCCATTCATATAAAGGATAAATACCCAACAGTACCGGATTAAGTCAGCGCAGGGTGTTTAGGAAATTAAATTTTAAGTTAAGCATATTCTACGTTCTTTGCCATTGTGTTCCAAAACTCACTCTTCAGGTGCTTTAATATCGAAAGAAGACGTTCTCCGCCGTAGTTGCGGATCATCAAATTTAAGTAAGTACTCATACTAACTTAAATGAAACTTTGAGGTTTGTTTTTTTTTGCTGTTAATAGGAAACATCAGTCCGTAGCTATAAGCTAAAGAATATCACAAAATAAACCTAATGTCTGCAAAACTGTAGGTCAATGTAAAAAAATAGTACTGAAACAAAAAACAATTTTTATCTCTCAACGGCTCATACCAAAAGAAAAAAAAACATGGACGAAACGACGATAGAATAACATCCACTAATTGGTAATACCTATGTGAATAGTTCGAACCCTATAGTAGGAGATTCCCCTGTAATATAATCTGTTAAGTCCTAAGTTTTTCTCTTCTTTTTTGTACTTAAAATATTTTTATTTAAATTCACATTTGTAATTTTAAATAGTGTCTAACTTAGTGACAACAGGACCAGTTTACATTTTACCTGGGTATTCATAGAACCCTTATAAACTGTAAAGAAATGTATGGCGATTGTGCTCACATTTAATGATAGGGCATTCCATATTCTGTGTTATATTCAGTTTCTAGTTATTCACCCCCGCTAAAATAATATTCTCCAATTTACCTGTTGGTAGATATAGATGCATAGTACATTAAGAATTAGACATTCACATTTCATCTTTCAATCAAGTAAGTTTTGCATCCAGTAACCATCCAAAATAGTTTCCATTGTCGGACGAATTTTGATAGTTTTAATTTAGACGTTGAAGTTTAGTTTTTATTGATTAGAATAGAAGTTGCAGTAAATGTTTTAAATAAAACAGTGAATTTTTATTCATCAACAAAATCACGATCCAATTTAACTGGTTGCATAATATTAATTTGGCGTGCAACGTACAACGTTTGTACATAATCCATATATCCTGGATGCATATGGTGTGCTCATATCTGCCATTTCATTAGACTATTTGGGCACACGCTCCATCAAGGCACGGGACCCGTAATATTTGCTAACTCCTACATTACTAATCCGGTCTTGTTAAACAGTAAAATACTTAATATACAACGAAAACTATCCCAAAAATGTTGAAAAACAATAGAATTGGTATAATGAAAAATCAAAACACCAACTCATTGTTCTTTATTCCTTATACTATATACACTTGCCAAAATACATATTTCAATCAGCATATATGTAGGTACCCCTTCGGCTCCGCTCCTTGTCCTCACCAAAAAGCGCATTTATAGTGCTGTAGAAGGTCATTCCTAACTTTTCGCCATCTCATATAATAGGTGAGAGTCCCATATTTACCTTATATGTTATGCTATACCTACATGAGGGTGCCACATAATCAATAATTAGAAGGGTAGCACATAGTATTACAAATAAGTATATACATATATATTTATGTATAATTATGTGTGTAATTGATTCAAACCTTCATTTTGATTCTCATAAACCGCATATCCATGGTTCTGTGTTTTGGTAGGATCGAAAGCTAATTTTATGTAAAATGGGTTTTCGGTATTAGGTACCACAGGCTGTCGTAGATTCTGAATGTATTTTGGCTCTGCATGTGTTGGTATCACTTGGTGGCGATTAATTTTGAATTCCACATTTTGATAAGAAGCAGCTTTTCCAGGATTATGTTCAATATGATAACTTTCCACCACAAGTAATAGAGAAAGAAAAATCTGAAACAACAAGCGGTAAGGGAACAAATAACAATGTTAACTTTGACTGGCCAATTGAAATAATTGATGATGACGAGCTTTGGGGTTTTCTGCCGTGGTCGAATTCTGATTGCAGACGTTTCGCCATTCTTAATAGATCATTGAATTCAGTCGCAGATCATACATCGTGAATTCACTGAAAATGTTATCTATTAAGCAGGGCGAAACGTTTGCAATCAAAATTCGACCACGGCAGAAGAACCCAGAAGCTCTTCATCATCAATTAGACACCGGCTATCGAAATAAGTTAGGCGCTTACATAAAAAAAGATTTTAAAATTTAGGATGGTTCATATATAATCAGTCGTCTTTTTAAACTTAATTAAATCGTCAGCAAATATTTTCTATTAACTCTTCTTTCATAAACAACATTTACGCTGTCATTATTATTAGAAAATTAGCGATAATTAAAAATTCACTTCTCTGATTGAATAATTAAAAAGTAGAGATACTCTCTTACCTCTGAATTTTGTGATATACGATATTATTCGTTTGAGAACTGGTTGTTGACATGAATATTGTTTTGTGAAACATTAAAATGTACTTTTCATTTTTAATATTTTATAATTTAGGTAAACTAGGAACTATAGTAAGTCTCATACTGGTTTCGGGCAACTAGCCTACTGTTATTCAAACTTATTTCTTCTCAAAATATATTAAAAGTTAGCTTATTTAAATGCAACAAAAGATTGTATGTATTATTATTTTCTGTTAATTTTAAAATATTAATTCAATGGAATAAACACCTCATGGAATCCAATTTGTATATTTTCAATAGAAATGATGAAAAAANCTAAATGGATTCTTTCGAGTTTTTTAATTTGTTTCCGATATTTTGTGATTGTCTAAATAATTTTTTAATTTTACGTTTAGTTTTACTTATTCGCAATTTAATATTAAATTATTATTTGCTACATCAATGATTAGCAAAATATTCATAAAGAATGCAGCAATTTTGAAATAAGATATTCATAATGTTTGAAAATGAAGATTGGTAATAGGATTATTCGTTGTTCCTGGCTAGGCTTTAACGTGTTCTATTATTTTTTGCAACTAAATTTTTGATCCCACTAATTTGGTGTAAGAAATATTGACTTCAAGCATGTGTAACGACACACACATTTTTATAATTTAATGAATTGTAGCTGACATAAATTAACTTTCAGTCTTTTTTCAAATTCATCGATCAATATATTTATCGTTGTACTGTCGGACAATGTAAGATGTATATGTTTATTAATTATTTATTTTTCGCTATTTGAGAATAGTAAGTTGATGTGCTTTGGAGATTTTATAATTCCTTTAATATGTAGAAGTGGTTGTAGCATTTTAAAAACTATGTGTCTTTTTGAAACTCTGGGTGTTTTACACTTTGGTAATCATTATACATTCGTCTTTTTCAGAAAATAAGATAACAGCTAACTATCACTACTCATTTCTGCATTTGAAAAGTAATAGTTACAATTTTACTATCAAATAACTAGACAATCAGTAAGTAAATACATTGTTTAATTTAAGAATTGGATTAGTTTGAAGATATATAAATGGAGTATTAGATAAGAAGGAAATTGTAGAATATATATACATATATAAGTTTTTCGAATATGGTAGAAAGGTTTTGTTATAATTTTTATTGATTCAATGTTTCTGGGAAGTACATAATTTAAAAATATTGATGAAGATTGTTGAAGGTAAAACACCTTAGAGAGTCAGTAAATAGGTTAAGGGTATAGTAAAAAGCAATATTTTGTTATAATGAGACTGTGCAGTTGATAGTAGAATTGCGAGCATTGAATGTTAGACATTTTTTACTGCAGGCAGGAAAAATATTAATATTACACGAATATGATATTATGTAATTTTGTTACTACGTTAAGTTTATATTTATTATTTTATTCTATTCGCTAATTAATAATGCTTCATCATTTAAACACTATGTTATCACTCAGTAATATTCAGTTGTTTTTATTTTATTCATTTGATTTTACATTTATCATCGTAAGACTGTATTTTATTATATTGTGCTCAGCATATGCACTTTATATGTTAGGCCACTCAATTAGTTTTAACTTCCGAAGAAACCTAACTGGAAGATAATTTTCTAGCACTGTATAAACGTTCTTCTAAAGCAACAGTAACATTTTCCAAGCGTCTTGTAACAAGTATGAAATTTATACTTATAACGTTAAAATAGTGAATGATATTTAATGTTATAGTTTATTTTTCCTAAAAAGAATTTTTGTGAATGATTGTTTGATAGAGATGTCACTGTCAGATACTAAAACTGACCACATATTATGTGAAGACAAATCCAACCTTAACGTTTAAAGTTAAACAAAGAATAGCTGAAAACTCGCCAGTCAATGGTAAAATATTTTGCCTGTTTTAATAGTTGCAATTGATTCCTTTATAAGAAAGTACAAGAATCTACGAATTTTAATGTTATGTATTCATACAGTATTTTTCTAAAATACTTACTCATTATAAGTGTTTGCCATTTTATGTGTAGTTGGGTTTCCAGTTAGTCAAACAAACTGATAGATTGGCCTATAAGACGGTTATTTAAAAATGTGTGTATGTGACATTTAGTAAAGTAACCGTATTTTTGTGACACCTTGAACAACGTGAAATTCAAACTTTAAAACGCTTGAAATCACTTTATCATAATGTTTTATTATAAGAACAACATCCGGTATTTTCTTATAACTTCGTTAACAATTGCATTTATATTTCATACCCAGTTATGCGTGTAAAAGATTTTTTTTACTCACCTAGACTACTAGGCGTGCTTCCAAAATATTTTGATTTAGATAATGAAAGGATAACAGTTTAAAGTTTAAATTTCGCAATAATTGCCTAATTAATAGAAAATAAAATAATGCATGGTGTAATAATAAATAAAAATCGATTGTGAACTGATTCATTAACTGTCTGAGAAGTCTAGTCTTAAAAAGCACTCTCGATTTGCATTTTCTTCAATCTATTGACAATTTCATTTTTGTGAATGAAACAGAAAGTAGCAAATCGATTATAAATTTAGATGTTTCGTGAAT